TTCAGAGAGCAGATTTCCTACTGACAGGGTTAATGGGGTGGTGTCTCTCACAGGTGATGTTGTATGGCACTTCTTATGTGAAAAATTAAAGATATCGTAAACCTCCATTCATTAACAGGTAGGGATTACATTTGTTCAGCATTGAACCCAAGGTGCTTAGAGGTGAAACAAAAGCTTTTCCTCCAGCATGAGCAGAGACAATGGATGTTTGAAAACATTCACTATAAGAAGTGTGGCTTTACATTCACTGTAAGTGTGGCTTTCAAATGACGTTTTCAGTTACGTTGCAATGATATGTTAGGCATGCTGAGAGAGACTTCACCAGACCTGATGGACAGTCTGACAAGGAATGCCTGGCCTCCACTTCAGCAGTGTTTCTTCAGACAGCAGTCCTCTGCGTAAAAGAACTCCCAGGAATGCTAGCCCGAGCTGAACAGAAATGCCAGCACCCTAATCCTTTGGAGGAAAACTCCTCTTCCCTCCCCTTCTGCTAAGACATGGCTGGGTGCTGGAGCCTGCGTGTGCTAAGGACACACTTTCCTCTTTAAGAAACCTGTTTGTTCTGTTGGCGGGTATTGAGTCATGTGGAATGAAATATGAGGAGTTCTTTCTCCATGCCTAGCATACCATGTCTACTCCATATAGGCGTTTGTAGGTTATCTAGTTAAGATATATTCTGTCTCAGGATATCCATGAAGAGACTGGAATGGCGTTTTGCCACCTCCTCATGCTGCTTCTCCACTCAGGGACCAATTTCTGCAGGTCTTTCCTGATCTCACAGCAGAGAAAAGTGATATGAATACCTCTTTCCTTTAGGGAGTTTGATTCACAGCTTTTCCTATTGGTCATGTCTTCTCTTTCCAGGGATGACATTCTTACATGGCTTCCCGCAGCCTGAAAAAGACTGAGCATGTCAGTGAAGAAGGACCAGATGATGTAACCAGAAAGGTAAGCAGAGTGGCTGGTAGGACAGACCTGTCATTTGAAGTTGGGCTGCACTTGAATGAGTGCCCGAGTTGCACAGGTACTCAGACATATGTTCTCAGCTAACACCTCTGGATGCAATTGCCGCTGGACAGTGGGTCCTGGCTGAGAAGGTGACCTTCCGAATGCCCTTTCCTTCACCCATCAAAGCAATTGGAGGGTAGGTGAGGAGGGGAACAGGCCTCTTGGGTAAGAACAGGAAGGCAAATAGTCAGAAATGAAGGAATGATGGTGACGTGCCACCAGATAGCCAGCCGCCATAGTGTCAGAGTGCTCTAACAGTGCTTGCATACCCTGTCCTGAGGAGATTCCCTGCTGACCCCACTAAAGACTGCTGGGGACACACTTTTCTCTCCACGAGGCTTGTACTTGGCAAGGTCTGAGTTTAACCCAAGAGATGGGGACATTGTTTCAGCTCTAAGCACGTAGATTTGGGAAAACATATCTGATATGCTCTCCAGCTCAAGCTGCAGTGGCTACTTCATTTGGTCAGTGCTTTGCCAGGCAGCACAGCTGTATATTGCCTCCCGTCCAGGTCAGTCTCTTCAGCTCCCTGCGAAGTGCCTCCAGTTAACCAGGATCTTGTAGGGTGACTTGTAGGGTCTCAGAGCAGAGCCATGCCATGACCCAACACTGCTCTTGGCCTCACATGTTAGCTAAGCTTGGACTTTACCTCTCTGGGCTCTGATTCCAAAGTCTTCCTATGTGTGGGACTGTATTTCTTCCAACTTTCCTAGCGAGCTCCAGTAGTACCGTTACCATGGCAATCCAAACATCTCTTGCATAAAAAACATGGGATTAAACAACTATGTGTTTATACCTGTGTCTCCTTTGGATACCTCATTTGGTGGGTGTGTTGTGACTGGCAGTCTCATTTTCTACCCACAAAATGGATTTGGAGTGGAGGGTGCCCTCCATTCTCCCAAATGGTAACAGCTGTTACCCTCAAGTGCTCTCTGAACCTCTGGCTTTCTATACAGCTCTGAGCCTTTGCACTGTGGACAGGGTTTTTCTGGAGTTACCTCCAGTGGATTTTCTCTCCGTGAACATGTCCAAGTCTCTTTTCAATCCATGTAATCCTTCACAGTGACAAGGAGTTCCACAGATTAACTGCATACTTTCGGAAGAACCCATGCGTCTCTGTGGTTTTGAATACCCTGCCTTGAGGCAACTTCATTTGATTTACACACACACGCACTCAGAAACACACACAAACACTGTCCTCCACCTTCTGCCCTCTGCACTCTCCTTTTCTTTTAATGCAAGAACCAGTTAGAACATTGATCCCTCTCAAGCCTCTCCGCTATGAGGATTTTGTAGTTCTACTTCGTACCTCCACTCAGTTCTCTGCTTTCCTACCTTAAGTCTCTGGGTTTGTTTAATTGGTCCTCCTATGAAAGCCCCTCCATGTGTCTGATCAGCTTTACTGTCTTTGGAATCAGAATTCCTTGCATATCCAGTTTTTCTCTTTTTATTTTCTCTTTTGCTACCACTGCCAAGAAATGACTGGATATTTTCACACAGTTATGCTGCATATGTGGAAGATCTTGCTCCTGATGGGTAATTGCAAGCTTACAGTCCATCTTTTTCTATGTGACACTGCATTATGTTTCCCCACACATACAATTTTGTGTTCTTAATTTGTGTATTGAATTTTGTATGCTATTTAATGTCACTATATCACCATTTAAGGCTGGGCTGACGCTTAAAGCGAGTGGCACATGCTCTCTGTTAACCCCGTCCTTTCCCAGAAGGGGAAGAAGAGGAGAAAAGCAAGAGAGACTTGTGGGTTGGAAACTTATAACAGACTTTAATAAAACAGTAACAGTGAAAAGAGTATAAATAATATTAAAACTAATACTACTAATAATAGAAATAGAAATATACAAAGCCAATATTGCTCTTCCAGGTGATGACCGCAGGACCGTGTGCCACACCACGGCATCTTGCAGTCCTCACACAGCATAAAATAGTTTAAAACAATCTGTGTTATTTAAGACAAAACTAGGATATATTTTTGTCCTGGTTTGGCTGAAACAGAACTATGTCTGCTTTCAGTAGATGTTATTTTTTTTTCCTTCAGTTAAGTAAGAGAGTTAACACCTGTGATCCCCGAGTTTTATACCAAGTATTCCCATGGGTGGGATGGAACATGGCATTGGTCAGTCCTGGGTCACCTGTCCCCTCTGCAGATTCCTGGGGGTGCGACCCCTCCTCCGCCTTCCCCCCACGAGAAGCCCAGCGGAGCCCAAGAGAGCCCACAGGGAACAAGCACATATATATGGACCTTTCTGCATAACAATCCAGCTCCCGCCCCAGCAACACCTACAGACATTAACTGCCATCAGCTCTGACAGCAGGCACTGCCTGAAACCTGTAGTCAGTTTCAGACAGTGCAGTTACTAAAAAACTTAACTGAAGGAAAAAAAAAAATCTACTGAAAACAGAAATAGTTCTGTTTCAGCCAAACCAGGACACAGTATTTCCTCAGTGTCATGAAAGCCTTCTGAGTTTCTTCGATATCATTGTCCTTACTGGACAATGTCTACTGGAATAGAATTATTTTATTGGGAAACATTATGTTCCTTCCTGTTCAACACTTCTTCAGCTTGTTTTATCAATAGCTTTAACAACACAGACCCTAGCACAAATAACTTTTGTCTTTCATTCTGTGCCTTTGAGGATTATTTATCTGAATGAGAAGCTTCCTCCTTATCCCATGGCTTCATCACTTCTATAAAAGCCTTTGTTGGGACACTTTGCTGAAAGGTTTTGGAAATCCCAGTTGATTATATCAGCTGGGTCTCCCTGTCCACGTGCTCACGTACTCTTTCAAAGGTTTCTCTGTTGATTCACATATAAGGCTGACTTTAATTTAATGGAATACTGTCTTTGGAAGGACACAAACTATCTGCCCTCAGTTCCCCACACCAGTTCTTTCCCAGGAGGTGTTACTTATGCTGGGTTGGTCTAGTCCTCACTGGGAATTCATACACCAGGGCTGTGACACTGAACTCCAGCCCTTTGAGCTCTGCCCCAACAGGCAGCAACTGAGACTGCACATGATGACTTTTTACCCCTACTCTCAAGTCTTCACTGTCAGTTCATGTGGACCTCTGATCAGGACCAGAATCAAGCTGCCATTTGGCTGCCCAGCTTCCTTGTTACTTTTTCTGCACATTGAATGAAAATTCAGCAGGCTAGACCAGAAGTGCCAGCTACTAATGAACACTGCTGTGCTTTCCTTCCACTGATGGGCTACTTCCTCTTCTCTGCTCTCTTGCCATAGACTACTGAGAGAAGCTCCTGGTTGAGTCCTTGGGTTTCTACAGTACCACTAAAGAAAGTACCACGTTGAACAGCTGAGATCTCTCATGAGGAAACAAAGAATTCACTCAGGCAGGGTAGTGTTTCAGAGGGTAGTGTGCCAGAGACTCAGGTTTTGTGGACACTGACATGATTTACAGAAATTAAAGGAATTATCACAGAACTGTCAGCAGCCTCCTCCAGTTTTAGTCCAAGGGGAGGTGATAATCTTCGCGGTCCCCTAACTAATTAAATTCATGAAGCAAACCTAGTGGTGACTAAAGACCAACTTCTGTCATCTTCCCAGAAAAACCATAAACTCTGCTGGTTATCAGCCCTCCACAAACCTGTCTTTGACAGTGGACAGCAAAAGAAGCTGTTCATACATGACATGTTACACAACTGGAAAAAACTGAGGTGCTGTAAAGGTAAATATAACATAAGGTGATGTTTGGGATAGAAAGTAGGAAGGCTGAACTTGCAGGAGTCGCTGTCAGGAATTACTGTCCTTAATTTCATATGAATTTAATTTCTATTCAGCCCCAGTCACGAAGTAATTAAGAAGGGATAAATAGTTAGGAAGTAGATGACAAATAGCTGTACCATAACACAAGCACACAAAAGCTATAAGCCAAAGCTGTGCCCAAAAGCAAATGATGATATAGACCTAACCAATAAAAAGATAAACAAGTGAAAACTACTGCTCATTATGTGTATGTGAAGGAATCTATGTTCTTTATTCTCTAGACATTGACATGCTTACAAAGCCTAATTACAGAAGAAAGCGACTGAGAGGTTCACATTTTGTGCATTCCTCAGGTCACTTTGACGTCTCATGACATCCTCACTCTTCCTCTTCTATCTTCTTGCCATGAAACTCACGGCTTTTCACTCGGAGCTTGTTGACCTGCGACTCTGCAATGTCAGCTCGCTCCTCAGCTTCCTCCAGCTCATGCTGGATCTTGCGGAACTTGGAGAGATTGACATTGGAGAGCTCCTCCTGTGCGGGGAGAGGGAGCTGGTGGTGAGGAGCCCAGGGAAGGGGTTGCACTCCTCTGGCACCCTGGCCTTGCAGCGCTGTAGCTGTTCCCCAGGGGAAAGCACAAATCTCCATTCCCAACCCACCACTGCTTGCACATAAGCCTCAACACACCTCCTCATCTTCCCTTATTCAGGACCCCACTGTGAAAAACTTCACAAGGACTGTGTCATGCTTCAGGAGTAATTTCATCACTTGGATTTGTCATCAGTGTACTTATCCTCCCACTACTTGCTGCCCAACTATCAGTGTGACTTATTAGGTTGAGAAAGACCCTGAAGCCTTCTGCTGTTGATTACTAGCAGAGATTCATGAACTTCTCAGTCAGTGAATGTGTGCCCTGGGTTTGCTTGCTTATTCTGATCTCCTGTAGAAAACAGGCTGCAGAACTTCCCTTAGTCCATCCCTGATTGCATGGCGCCCAGAACTCACCAAGGCCTCATGAGATGACAGTGAAATGACATGGCCAAAACTGTTGTATCTTGGGAGTTTCCTGCATGACCCTTTTCTGGTATTCATACTCATGTCAATGAGCATGCTGCCCCAATGGAAGGTGGCTCTTGCCCGTTCTCCAAGCAATACTTACAGCCTCCTCAGCTTGTCTCTTGTAGGATTTCACCTTCATTTGCAGCTTGTCCACCAGATCCTGCAACCTGAGAATATTCTTCCTGTCTTCCTCAGACTA